CTTGAGGATTCCACTGTCACATGGGCTGGCCAGCTCTCAGTGCTAGAGGTTGGCAGGCTCTTAGGATGAGACCAGGGACAGTGGAATTGGCAACAAGCAGAGGGCAGCAGCAGGTTCTGCTGGAGTTGGCACCAGGGCAGGAAGGAAGCTACAGCTCCCTGTCTCCCAGGCAAGGGTTGAGAGTTGGGATTTCAGGGGTATAAGGGTGCCTGGAAGACAGAGGGATCTGAACCCAAAGCTAAAGGCAGAAGCTCCAGAGTGGGCAGCTTGGGACACACGGCCTCTGTACCAGCTTGGGCACTGGCCTGGGGCTGGCCCAATGCCAAGAACACTAAATAAAGAGTCCGGGCTTCCTGTCCCGTCCATAGCTTATCACAGATGTGCGCAAACCCTGGAGGGACACAGCGGGCAGAGGCCAAGGTCAGGCGGAGATCTGAGCTCAGCATATCTCCCAGGGGAGGCTTTGGGCACTGGGGACACTTGGACAGGCCTCTATGTCACACCCATGCTGTCTTGTGCCCCGTGACAGAGCTCAGCAGAGGTTTAGGCAGGGGACAGCAGTGCTGGGTGGGGTTGGGTGGGCATGGCGTCCAGAAGGGGCTTCACGGGGTGAGGATCGTCATCTAGAGGAGACCTATGGATCAGCCAGTGGGGGAGGCAGCCCGGCCAGTGCTGCATAATCCAAAGGTTCACATGACTTGGGCACTGTGAGCCATGTTGGGTGGCTGACAGCCCAGGACTGACACAGAGCAGACAGGCAGGGGACACCCTGGTGCCTCATCCTCTATACTACAGCTGGCCCTGGTGTCTCCCAAGTTCTGCATTCCCACATTCAACCAACCAAGAAGGGAAAATACTCAAGGGAAGATGTACCTCCTGGAGTGTGTGCACCCTCCTTTTCCATTTTCTTGTGTGCTTTTAAAGTAAGCGCTACACTGTTTATCTGAGGGACTTGCACATCCTTGCAGTTGGGCATCCACTGGGATCCTGGCACTCATCTCCATAGATACCGAGAGATGACCACACTGACTGATGCAGATCCTAGGGTTTGGCTGCCCCAGTCCAGAGAGGTCAGGCCAGTCCCCAGAGCAGTAGCGCTCGTCTAGACTGCAAGATGTAGGGATCCCAGCTGCCAAGGGGTGTCAGAGACCTTAGGCCTTATCAGTCTTTGCTTCCTGTCCTGTGCCTTGGCAGTGACTTGGTGTCACAGTCCAAGTGCCACCATGACCAGAGTCCTAATACATGACAACCACCCACCCCCAGTACTGAGGACTGAACCCCGGGCTTATACACTGATCTACACACCCAGCCTTTCAACTTTTTATTTTGATTTTTTTTTAATTTTATTTGTGTGTGTGTGTGTGTGTGTGTGTGTGTGTGTGTGTGTGTGGCCAGCTCAGCCCACCAGGGGGCAGGGCTGGCTGGCATGCGGTGCTGGGGGATCGAACCGCGGTCCTTGTGCTTTCGCTAAAGCTTGGCCTAAGTAGGTCCTTTAGACCACTGAGCAATCTCACCAGCCCTCAACTTTTTATTTTGAGGCAGACTCATACAATGTTGCTAAGTTGACCAGGCTGGGTTTGAATTTATGATCTTCCTGCCTCAGCCTCCCAGACTCCTGGCATTACAGGCCTGCGCCACCGCACCCAGCTACAGCTGTCACTTTTTAAAACAAGTTCCATTTATGCTGCACATGAATTAATGCCCCACAGGTACGGAACCTGAGGCACAGCCCAAGGACATATCTCTCCTGCATGAGGAGCAGGAAGTGAATTGAAAGGAGTTTGCTATCAGACCCGCAGTTGAGGGCAGACCCTGCCCTTTACAGCAGGAAGCAGGCATGCGTATCTTGCATGCAATCCTCCGACCCTGGAACGCGCAGTAGGGACCGGGCTTTTCCAGCCCTGCTGAGGGAATGGGATCCCTCAGTGAGGAAATTCTCTTCCTGGGTCATTCTAGTGCAGAAACTGGGTCCCTTCTTGGTGCACTATTTCTCTTAAGGGCTTTTCTTTCAAAATTTATTTTTCGGGGCTGGGAGATAGCTTAGTGGTTTAAGCACCTGTCTAGCAAGCACAAGGACCTGAGTTCAATTCCTAGTACCGCAGTCCAAGCCAGCCCCAAAACCAGACATGGTGGCACAGGCCTGTAATCCCAGCGCTGTGAGGCTGACAGGAGGATCACTAGGAATCTGAGCTGTGTAATGAGACTCTGTACCAAATAAATAAATTAATCAATCAATTAATTAATTTTTGATGTTTGGAGACAGGGTCTCACTCTGTAGACCAGGCTGGACTTGAACTCACTATGTAGCCCAGGCTCAAACTCATAGTGATCCTCCTGCTTCAGCCTCCCAAGTACACCACCATGTCCTGAAAGGCCTGGCTTTCAAAAAAAATACCTGTTCATAACTCCTACCCGGAAAGATCCCTGTGTCACTGAGCACAGAGCCAGCAGGACTGGGCCTTCCCTCTCCTTGCCCTCACCCTTGCACTTCTAGAACAGGCCCCAAGACAAAGTAGCCCTCAGTGACATCTGCGACAGGTAGAGCTGCTCGGCAAGCCTGCAGGCACAGTGTGCCCTCCACAGGGCCCGGCATGAGCTGCCACATGACCCTGCCTGGTGCCTGGGAGGCTGGCTGTTGTCCCCACCCTGCTCCTCTCTGTGCACGGCTGGGAGAGCCAGCCCAGACCCTGCCAGGCCATGCTCCCCTCTTTGTGCAGGAGCATCAGCCGCCACCTGTTGTTAATCTAGCCCGTAATCCATGCTGCACTGTGTCAGCAGTTCAAAAGGGCACTGTTAGTATTTTTTGCCGACTTCAATTAACGTGAGATTTCAGAGGCCCCTCTGATCACATTTCATCTGTCATAAGTCAGGAACAAAATAGACAGATTCCAGTTGAGAGGAGGAAGGAGGAGGAGTTTATTGCAAACAACAACAGCGAAACAGACAGTGGGGGCCAGGTTGGGGCGGGGGCCTCAGGGCGCACCCAGGCAGGAGCCTCCGCTCCATCCCGCGCCTCAGCCCCCACCAGTCTCCTTCTCGCCCGCATGCCTCCCTTCCCCAGAAAGATGTAAGTGCAATAACTTACTTTAAAAGGCAAGAACATTTCTTTTAATATTTTGCTATAATGTAGTTACATGGTGGTATAGGCAGTAAAATTTTATGGGACCCACCTCAATTTTTTTTAACTTTTTCTGAATTTTTAATGTATTTTTAATAGATATTTTTTTAGTATTCCACCCCAGGCCATTAAGCTAAAGGAAAAGTTGCATTTATACAGGGTTAAAATATCTTACAATGAGACAGTAAGCACTGGCTGAGGTCCATGTTCCTTCACGCACTCGGCTGTGTTCACCACCGCACACCAAACGGATTACTCGACACTGAAACCGTCCTCAAAATCAGTAGTATAAAGGCCTAGCTCTATGTGTGACAGGGAGGGTGACAAAGGAGGGGCAGGAGAGGAAGTGTCTCGTCCGACGCCACTGATACCAGCCAGCAGGAATACCCTTCCTCCCTTCAGCGTCCTGAAAGAGGTGAAGCGGGGTTGGGGTCGACTTTGAGAAGTGGAGCTTGTCACGCCGTCTCACTTGTCAGATGTGTGCTCATGGATTACCATCCTAGGGGGCCGGCTTCCCCGCTGTCCTCGCCCAGCCAGGCCTGTCTGCCTGAGCCTTGCCAGGCAGGGCCACCCCACACACCAGCAGCCCCCGGTGTCCTTCCGTGTCCCCACGTGAAGCCCAGAGAGAGAGAGCACCTGGGAACACAGGCCCTGTGGCATGGTCATAGAAATGTTCTTGGTGTCCTCCCCAGCAAGAAAGATGGGAAGCGGGGGTGGCTTGGTCTCAGCAGTGTGTGCTGGGGACCCCCTCACTCGTGCTGTGCCCTGCCCACCACAGGTGCTTTAACCTGCCTGCCAGGTGGACATCAAGTATGGTTACGAGAATCCAGGGAAGGTTTGATGGCCCTCACCCCTGGGCCTGGACAGATGGGGCTTCTGGAGGTGGGAGGGCCCTGGATGCAGGGCCGGGGCACAAGGCCCTGCAGGGACTCTAGGCTCCCAGGATGGGGACAGTGCCCACTCCGTGGCCGACTAGCACCACTTCACAGTCAAGCGGCCACCTCTGTGGGGACATCAGGCAGACAGTGAAGGAAACCTGCAGCCCTGCGGCACCCTTGCTGAACAGGAGCCTCGCCTTAGGGAGCATCTTCTCACCACCTCCATGGGCCTCCGTCCCTGAGGAAGTCAAGGAGCCACCTTGTGGCTGCTACAAGGAGCCAGGGTCCCCTTTGTCCTCTGGCCAGCACCTGTCACCCTGAGGGCCAGCTGAGCCCAAGCCCTAGAGCCTGGGCAGCATGGCCCTGTCCTGTCTCAGTGATTGGGGTCACTCTGCTCCGGCTGAGGGGACTGGTCAGCAAGGAGGTGTCTGAGAGCCTTTCCAACTCGGTGACCTGGACGGTGGGCAGGCCGGGGTGAGTAGCTGCCTCTGGAGAGAGGAAAGGGGATGTCTCTGAACCCGTCTCGGCCACAGTAGGGAAGAGGCACCGTGACCATCCACCTCCTCTGGGAGGCTCTTTCTCCCCACCATGGGGCTTGACATTTATTTGCTTGATTGGGCTCTGGCCTGGGAGCAGACCCACATAGGAACAAAGTATCTCTCTGGAGGTCCCTTGAGAAGATACCACCTGAAGCCCGCCTTCACCCTCCCCCACCCTCTTGGCCCTGATTCTCTGTGGGTGAGTGACTTCCTCCAGCGTCCTCCCTGGCCATGAGGGCTCTGAGAAGGAACCGAGCTGGCCCTTCCTTCTGCCCCTCCTTGCCCTTGCCAGACAGTAGGGAAAGCGAGTTATCTCAGTGGACCTCAGAATGAGGGAAGGGCTCCTAAGAGTCACTCCAAGATCCTCCAACATCTGAAAGCCAAGCTTTAGGGGACATTTAATTCCAGCCTGGGGCCCCTTTCTCCTCAAGAGCTAGCGTCCGTGAGGTTTGACTCTTGCTAGGGAAGGCCCTGGCCAAGGCAGCCAAAAGGGAGTCCTGTCTCTTCAGGCTGGAAGCCTGGCTCCATGAGGCAGAGATGGGGGCAGAACTATGCCCGGCAGAAGCAGCAGGAGGGTAGCTCTGAGAGCCTGTGGAAGATCATGCCTGGCACACACTGGCCCCTAGGCCTGGGGGAACACAGAGTGCCACCCACTGGGGATGAGGCTGTGCCTGAGGATGGGATAGGCTGAGGATGCAAGAGCCATCTGCCTTGAGCCCAAGCATGGCTCTGAGTCCCCTGGTAGAGCCTGAGGACACTGCTCTTGACCCCTGCCACCAAGGCCCTAGCCCTAGCTTATATATTCCAAGTCATAGGTCCTTTCACTCCAAGAGCAAGGCGGGGGGGGGGAGGGGGAGGCCAGGTAGAGACAGGCACCCCAGAGCTCCTGCAGAGGCCCTGGAGAGACAGAAGCACCACGCACACAGAAGACGGAGCCACCCTGACCTTCCGGGGCGGCAATGCCACCTCCCTACAGCCTTCCTTTCTCCTGGAGCTTCTCTTCTTCCAGCACGTGGTGGCCCCAGGGGTCCTGGCTTCTCCCTGCTGTGTCCACCAGAACCAGTTTCAGAACACCAGGGTCTGACGACCCTCCAGGATGGCAAGGGATCCCCAGCTCCCACTCCGGCCTATACTGCTGGGCGTGTCCAGCTCAAGGGCAGCCATGCTGGGGTCTCTGGGGCCCAGTTCAGTGCCTGGAGTCCAGGAGGCAGGATTTGTGTGCTTTCAGGAAATGGGGACAGACACAGCACAAGTAGACCAGATTGACTGTCACTGCTGTCTGCTTTGGAGGGGAAACTAACTTGGACTCAAGGTCAAAGCAGGTAGGCGGAGGAGCATGAGGGGACAAAAAGGGCCTTTAGCCTGTAGCAGGCAAAAAGCCACAGGTCTGGGTGCCTTGCTGTCTCCACTGCCAGTACTGGGGAGCACAGGTCAGGGCCTTAGTGCCAGGGAGCCACAAGGGTCTGTGCCCCTCTCTCCCACGGTCCTCAGGGCTTCAGACTTGGGGTGGCTGAAAGTGCTGAGGGTCAGGCCCCTAGACCAGGCCAGGCGCCTATGAGCAAAGTCGAGTGGGAGGCTGGGGTCCTGGAAGTGCGGGCGTGGCAGGCACAGGGATGGCCAGGAGCGGCCCTGTCATGTGGCCCAGGAGATGGCCGCACTGTGCTCCTTGGCCTTCATGCGCAGCGCCGCGATGCTGGAGGTCTTGCGGTCCGGCTCCCCGTTCAGCTCGTAACCGTTGAGGCTGGGGCTGAGGCCCGCTGCCCCAAACAAGTTGCCCACGTGTGTCTGGCCCACATGCCCGCCGGCCCCAGACACACTCAGGAAGTCGGTGACACTGCTGGCGCCCGAGCCAGGGGGGTGTGCGTGAGGGGACATGCAGGCAGGCACCGGGTCACAGGGGACCACACAGGCGGGCACGGGCGAGGCAGCCCCATTGTTGCTGATCCAGGTTGGGTTCTGAATCTGGGGGAGTGAGGAGAAAGCAGTCAGGTGGGCTGGAGGGTGGGGGGCCAAGGGCCCTAACACAGATGGGCTCACCCCGATTCCCAGGGCCCGCTGCAGGAGCGCTGACTTCAAGCCACAGAAAGTCTACTTTTCTGGTTGATGTGAGCACAGCCTTGGGAGGGGGGCGGCACTGCCTCATGCCACAGGGGCTGAGGCTGAACAGGATGCCCACCAGCACTCCTGCGTTTCCTCCCTCCTGCAGCTCCCCACTCTGTTTCCACCTTCCTGTGCCCCCTAAGATCTGGCAGGAGGAAGGCAGGTGCAGAGGACCTGCTTCCAGGACTCTTCTGCTCGGGATTCTCAGCGGCCTCAAGCCCTTTCTCAAATGTCTGCAGGGCTAGGGAGATATTAAAAAGCAGACAGGAGCTGGGCTTGGTGATGCACGCTGGTAATCCCAGCACTCTGGGAGGCTGAAGCAAGAGGACCACAAGTTCAAGCCCCATCAGGGCAATTTGGTAACACAGCAAGACCCTGCCTCAAAATAAAAACAGGGCTGAGGAAACAGCTCAAGTGAGAAGGTCCTGGGTTCAAACCCTAGTACTGCAATCAATCAAGCAAGTATCAATGAAGTACCATGCAGAACGGGAGGGAGATGGGTCCCCAAGGCTGGCAGGGCATTCTGAGGGCATCAAGCAGCTGCTGGCTGGCCAGGCCGCACCCCAGGCTCTTGCCCAGGCCTCTTGGTGACGGGAACAGCACCTCATTTCAGGTTTTTTCCTCCAGCTTTGAGCTCAGGTAGAAGGCCTCAAGGCTGGGGGCTCGGGGTAGCCGAGGCTGGGGAGGGGGGGCAGAACGTGGAGGAGCGGAGCGGGTGCAGCTAGTGCACGCAGGAGTCTTCCATATTCCGCAGCCTCCCCCAGCCATGGAGCATGTGGGGACCCAGAGCAGGGCAGAATGTGTGCTACTGAGGTTGGAGAAGCAGCTTGGAGCTGAGGGTGTGACCTGGCCGGTGGGGGGGGTGGGGGACACCCAGACTACTACCTGTCCCTCTGCACCTCACTGAGGTCTGGGAGGGAAGATGACCAAGCCAGAGGCAGGGAGGACGGGATACCGCAAACTGCCTTTTGGTGACCAAGTCACAAAGAAAGCAGACTCACAGACTTTGTGACAGCACTGAGACAGATGTTTCTATCATGTCCACGGCACCAGCGAGGACACCGAGGCAGTGACCCCAACCCAGGCCTGGGAAACTCCAGGGCGCGGCCTTACCTGGGCGTAGTTCTCTGCCCGGGTGAGCAGCGGCAGCTCATAGGCAGTGGAAAAGTGGGTCCGAACCTGCTGCATCTGCCCGAAGCGCTCCCTCTTTCTCCACTTGGCCCTGCGATTCTGGAACCAGACCTGCCAGATAAAGTGGATATCATAGGGGTCGGGGGGACAGTGTTCTCTGAGCCCCACCAGTCACACTGCATGGGTGGAGGCCTTGGGGCCACAGATCAGCATTAACTTTGGCCTTTGTCCTTGGAGGTGCTAATCTCCACACATCAGCACTACAGCAAAAATCATCATCATCATCATCATCCCAGAGCCAGGAGGCTGAGGCAAGAGGATCTCTGGGAATTTGAGGCCAGCCTGGAATGCCTAATGATGAAAAGACCTTGTCTCAAAAAAAAAAAAAGCAAAAACAAGAAAAGCTGAAGCCACAGGTGTGATCTTGGACCAGTAACCCTGTTTGTTTAAGCTTCAAAATCAAGAGTGGCACATGTCACACATGGAGGAGACAAGCTACCCCCTTAGCTGCCATCTAACCAATCCCAACACAGAGCATGCCGTTCTGCTGTGGGTCACAGCTCTCCAGCCACTCTGATAAAAGCTACTAAGTCCCCTCTAGAAGGTCCTTCTCCTGGACCAGTGATGACACCAACAGCCTGCTATGGCCCACATGCCACAGGTTTGCTCTCACGGTGACAGTCACACCCAGTTTCTCCATGGCTCTGTCGAAAAGCTCATGGCTCCCTAGACTCTGTCCACAGGCTCAGGTCCAGAATTGCCACCAGCTGCATCTCCTCTGCAGCCTCCTTGTGGGATACAAAGTCTCCTAGCTCAGAACTCCACGAGTGACGATGGGTGACACGCTAGGGACAGTGGGGGCTTGGTGGGCACCAGAGGCAGTCGGGGAAGGCTTCCTAAAGGAGAGTAGGAGCTGCAGCATTGGTGGTTGTCTCAGGTGTGAGCTCAGGACAGTGAGGCCTGACACTCAGGAGGAGATGGCTCCCCCTGTCACTGCTCGTAGCTTGTGGGGGGACCTGGCTAGAGAGGAGTGGGCTGGGTGGAATGTGCCCTCAGCCATGGGGCAGTGGGTCCTTGTCCTTGGCTAGAGTGTCTGGCTGGCTTAGATCCCAAGGCTCAGGTCATGTGTCAGAGAGGGTGAGAGAGGAAGATGAGGTGGGCTTGGCTTCCTGCCAAGCTGAGCTTCGCTCTGGTGCAGACCCTGGCACTTCCTGAGGGCACCATCTGCCAGAGACTCAGATGCAAGAGAGCACTGGCACCCAGCCCCCAGGGAACAGAGCCCTGTGAGGCTCCTCCAGGTCTGGCTCATATTGGGGCTGGTGGGCAGCGCCTTCCTTCCCCCTCCACCCTCTGCATCTGTCTGGAAAGAGTCCCTATTTGTCCCCTCTGCCCAAGCCCCAAGGAGCCAGGGTGGCTATGCCTCCCCATAAATGCAGCCTGGCTTATGGGGCTGGCAGAGGGCCTGAGGGACCACTGGTGTTGCCAATGCCTCGGGTTCTGCGCTTGTACCATGGACCTGGGTCTGTGCCAATTTGTCACAGGGAGGGACAGTGCCACTTGGGAGCAGCAGGGGGCCAGATGGAACTGCCCTGGAGTTCTTAGAGGACTCTGCATTTGTTTATTTATAGCTCAGACCTGGATGGTTGTCTCTTGCCAGAAGAAAAAGGTCAGAAAGAGGGGGTGGGGTGCAGGTCCTGTCGGTGTGGGGCACAGCTGTGCTGGGTTTCCCCACTGCCCCCCAGCTCCCCTCCTCTCCTAACCCCCATGCCCGTGTGTGCACGCATGTACACACACACACCACACGCAGAGCGCCCTTCCTGTGACCTCCCTGGAGACCTGGCTCGGGGTCACAGTCCCTGCCCTGCAGCCTCAGGGGTTTGGGGGGGCTTTCCTCCCAAAACCCCTGGGGTCCTGGCCAGGCTGCCCAGTGGGAACCAAGGGCACACGGGTCCCCTCCAGGCTGTGAAACAAGATCCCCCTTTATCAGCGGCCTGGAATGGGGGTGGGAGCATGAATCCTAGGAGCTTGTTTTCATTTCATGTTTAATTTCCTGCAGGCTGAGCTAAATCTTTCCGCTCCTGCCTCAGCCTCCCAGGGTTTTTGGGGGGAGGGGTGGGGAGCCCACAGGAGGCATCAGGATAGAACCCTCCTTTCTTTCTTTGAGGGTGGGGCCAAGGCAAGATACGTTTATGTTGCAACTCTAGTGTCTCTGTGGGTCCGGGGTCCCCTTGTAATGGGAACATAGTGTTGCTGGGAACCAGAGGAACCCGGGCCCAGCAGGGAGGATGGGGTGGGGACAGAAGGTGGCTGGTGTGTGGCAAGGGATCCAGTTCTGCGGAGAGGAGCAGGGGTTGAACTGTGGGACTGGAGAAGAGGGAATTGGGGTCTGGGTTATCTGGGCAGACAGATGGAGGTGGGGAGGCAGAGAGCTATTGGGCCAGAGGGCCAGCCTTTGGGATTTATCTGGTGCTAAGGACAGTGCCAGTGCCTTCTTCTGAACACTTAACCCTCATTTGGTCCCCAGGCTGGGGCTTCTGCTCAGATCAGCTCTACCAGAACTTTTGCCAAGGAAAGAGAATGAAGACGTGGAAAGAACTAAGGATGCTATGTGTGAGCACCCTCCTGGGAAGGTGGCCGCTGTGGGCTGCAACTTATACTCCTAAAGAGAAAGAGACTCAAAGCTAAGTCACCCTGGCTGATCTGCAGCATCCCCCAAGAGTGCAGTTGGCAGTGGCACCCCAGTGGGTCCCCTTCCGCTCCCATCTGTGGGTCCTGAGACTCCTTCAGTCTCTGGCTCCTGCTGCTTAGCCCTTGGACCTCAGGGCCCCGCTGTCGCCACTGCGGCCCAGAGGAGAGCCGCTCTGTCCCTCTGATGTCATGCCCCAGGACCACCCCGCTCCCCAGCCCACCCAGGCCTGGCCCACTCACAACAGGCCTCTCTGGAGGACCAGGCTGTGCAAGGAACCAACTGTCTTGGCGAAGGCCTCCCAACCGCAGCCTGTCTGGGGCCAGGGTGGGGTGGCCCAGGGTGGGGAAGCCTTGCCTTATTGTCTTCAGATACCAGCTGTGGAGGTTGGAATCCCAGACAGCAGCGAGAGGCCCCTGCAGCCCCCTGGAGCAGGGCCAAACCCTAGGCTTCTTCCCCGGAAAGGTCCATCTTGGGACCCCCGTCACCCCCTCCCTGTCCCCACCACCCCTAACATGGGACACCTGGCTTGCCACCAGCTGAATATGGGCCCCACAAACAAACTCCACGGAGGCAGGCAGGGGGTTCCATCATACCCCACATCCCCTATGGCAATGCCAGGCTCCGCTCAACCCAGAGGTCTGACGCACATGGAGATCCCACCCACCCTGCTGCTCTGTACAGAGCGAAGCGTTGCAGCCCGGCCCAGCGTCTGCTGACAGGGAGCCTGGGCGGCTGCGCAGTCCTCAACCCCTGGCTCAGAGCTGCTGCTGGGCCTCTGCAAACTCCAGCCACCCCTGCCATCTCTGGGCCTTGCTTCTTCACCTATCAAGTGAGGAGATCAAGCGATACTCTCCAGCACTCTGTCCTGGGTTGTGCAACAGATCGGGGCTTCCTTTTCTTTTTTGCCCTCCAGGGAGCCCATGGTTGAAGGGGCCTGGATCTGTAATGTAATTATCTGCCCACTTTTAGTCGCTGTTCTTTGATTTTAGGGCCAGGGATGTAGCTCAGCAGCACAGCACCTGCCTGGCAAGCACATGGTCCTGGGTTGGATTCCCAGCACCAAAAATTAAAGTTTATTTCATCCAAGGACAAGTTTGCCATCTATTCCCCTCAAAATATACCCTGGGGCTTTCAAACACACTTGTCTTGTGTTCTAGCCACTTTCTGAAGCAGTTCTGGAAGTCCTTATTTGTCTTTGAGGTTGTGATTTAAAAAAATAATCGTGAATGCTGCTACCAAGCGCCGTCCATAGGAAGGGCAGGCGCCTACAAGGAGAATGACACCCTCCTCGGCCTCATGCACCAGACCTGGCACCATGTGACTTCCCCTGAGATCCACATGACCGTGAGAGGTAAAGACTTTGAGTTGATAGAGGACACTGAGGCAGCCAGGACAGCACAGCTAAAGACACTCATGAAAGAGGACTCCAGAGCTGCTTCGGAAAAGGGACAAGAATGATGGGATGTTTTTTCAGAATGAGGGGAGGCAGGCTGGTGAGATAGCTCAGCGGACCAGAGCACCTGCTTAGGCATGCGCAGGGAGCAGGGTCTGATCCCCGGTCTCACATGCCACTCCAGACCCACTCCTGGGGCACGCTGAGCCGGCCACCAAGTCAGGGCGTGGTGGCCCACACCTCCTGATCCCAGCGCTGGGGAGGCTGAAAACTCCTAGGAGAATCGCTAGGAGTCTGGGCTGTGTAGTAAGACCCTATAGTAAATACATTAAAAAAAACAAAACCCGAGGGGGAGGATTTGTGGCAGTGTGTTTTTCAATATACTGTATTTTCAGATTTTCGCACCTCCACATTTCCATCGTGCCTTGTGAGTCTGTACAGAGAGAATGCTCCGTGGTAGCTGCGCGGTGCTGGCTGAAAAGTGCCGCGTGGTCACGCATTCCTATGATTTGTGCAGGACTAGCTGTCACTCTCGTAACCCTCTGAACTCTGCTCCGGGCACACGCGCACTTGCTGGGGCGCACTGTGCAGCACACTCAGGCACACACACCCTGAGTGGAGGACGACTGGCCTGACCCCCTCTGGCCTGACCCCCTCTGGCCCAGCGCTGTGAGGCACTCCCCAAGCACCGCCCCTTCTTCTGCCCGCCCCCACAGATCTCCAAGCCCATTGGCTGGGGCTGAGGTTGGGGGCGGACATGCAAGGTGATCTGGTGCAACACCGCCACACTGCCGACCTTCCGCGAATGAGCCTGCCATATCGTGGCGTGGTTGCATCGTCGGTGGCCACAGAACCTGATAGCTGTGCATCTACTGCGAACCCCAGGCCTTTGCACATTGGCCGTTTTTCACGAGAAAGTTTCTGGACTAAATTGCCAGTGGCTCTGTGTTATTCACGTGTCAGCACTGCGTTGAAGGGTCTGTAATGAACTAAGGCTACAGTACCCCGGGACCCAC